TGGTGTACTCCCCAGTTGTCAGGTGCAATTCACAGTAGTCCGGTCCACTCCACTCCCCAATTGTCAAGGTTTCATTTATGTAGAAAAACTTGCAAACAAATGCTGGATGTTCGCTTTACTTGATTAACAAATCACAAATTTAACAATAAATAATGTTTGTTTTTATTCAGATATACAAGACAAATCAGAGCTCAACACAGAAGTATTTGGAATTTTATCGTGAGGTTGTACTTTCCACAGCTAGACTGGTTGCTGAATGGCAGGCTGTTGGATTTTGTCATGGGTAAGAAATGAAAACCATATAATGTTGTTATAAATTTTATGATTAGAACTTCAGTCAACATAGTCAAGGGATGAGAGCTGTACTCTGTCTATTGGTATCACCTTCTTATTAAACACTGTTTGAGTTTCATACTCAAATGAACCCTGGCTCATACTTTCTCAGATTTATTCATTTATTGATATCTTCAATTCTCTCATACTTATGAATATTTTTGTAATTTTCAATTGATTTTTAAAAATCACTAGTAGTCTAATTGTTTTGATATAGATTATATAGGTATCTCAGTAGACATCTCTAGACTTAATGAAGATTTTAATTTTTTAAATTTGAAAAATACTTTTGTAATTTTTTGTAAAAAATTGTACTATTAACTTCAGTGCTCTGGATAAGATGGCTTTGCCTTATTATAAATATATTAAATTCACTCTGAACACAGAACATTTCTATACTGTAGTACAGATTGCTTTCGAAATATGCACCCCTAACAGCGACACTATATCAAGTGACAGGCTGCTTGTTATGTTGCTTGGTCCCAAATTGATAAGAAGTATAATTTTTTTGTTCTTTTAGAAGTGCATATCAAATAAAGGCATATGTAAATTATGAAGGTGAAATCAACTTTTTTTTTTTAGTCTTCAAGCTGTATGTTTTTTTGTTTTTTTCATGTAAATATTTTTTTGTTCGACTTTTTATCTCTATTTATATACCGTCATCTACATAACCAAGAATTGAAACTTTAGTCATGCAATTATATTTTGTGAATAACAGAATTTAGAATAATAATTAAGAATAATAATTGAGAGGTATTCATAAAAAGTCTTATTATTCTTTTGAAATTGTTTTAGCATTAATTACAGTATTCAAAATTGATCACATTTATGTTATGTTTCCGGCAATTTGATGAAAATATCATCATGTTAATGCAAATACTTGGTGTCATAACTTTACTGTGTAAAATGTGTTTTCACAGGGATTCCATGCTGTTATCTGTAAAACTATATCTACAATGCATATACAGTTCATGCAATTCTTTGTTTTAACCTTACCTGTATCATCACAGATGAACGGAAAAGTATATGAGGGGCAAGGTCTGTCCTTGTTGTTTTTTGTTGTTGACTTCTGCATAAACTGTTCATCTATTTTCCTGTCTTCTTTTCAGAGTATTAAATACTGATAACATGAGTATTTTAGGATTAACTATTGATTATGGGCCGTATGGATTTATGGATAGATTTGATCAGGATTATATTTGTAATGGATCAGGTAATTATTGCTGGGAAAGGATTGACCAGCCTTGTTATTAGTCCAAGAAAATTGTTCAGCTTGGAATGTGTCTGAGTCCCTCATTAGTATGCAAGAATGTAGGAATATACCAGGAAAGTTGTTTTTCTGGAGTAAATTGTAGTGTATTTTACTTATGAAAGGTCAAAAAGTGAATGGAGATTTATGAAAATGTGCGAATGTTAACAGAATGATGTCGTTTGGTCACAGTTGCACAATAAATGATGGACTATTTTGGATGTAGCTATAAAATGTGTCACCAAAGTACTCACACATGTGCATGATTCCAATAGTTTGTGGTGTGAAGAAATGCCATTAGAAAATAAGTATTGTGTAATTTGTAGTGAGAATGTATTCAAACAGATTTATGTTTATGAATCTTGTTTCTTTTCAAAGTGTATTTATATAATAAAAATTGTTTATGAAAATATTTTTATATTTTTTTGATGGATTGAATTTACGAATGATGAGTTATTTTGTTACACCATCACTCCAATTATGTTTATTGTTATGTGCAAGTAACAGCTATATGTTTATGTGATTACTTCATTTTGAGTGACACAACTGATCTTGAATTGTAGATGATGGAGGACGATATGCTTTTAACAAACAACCTTCCATGTGCAAGTGGAATCTGAAAAAGTTTGCTGAGGCTTTAAGTGGTTACACTGAGCTAGACCAAGTGTTGCCATTAGAGATGTCTTTGACAGTGTTAGAGGAATATGAAGAGGAGTATCAGAAATGCTTTTTACAGAAGATGAGAAAAAAATTTGGTTTGGTTCGAAAGCAGTTAGAGACTGATATGTAAGTGACTTATTTCTACACAAAATGGCCGACTAGCATGTATGTATAACAAATGTGATCTTGATTTTGTTTTGAGTAGTCAATAAATGACTTTTAGTGAACAAATATCATTTTGGGTGTTGCAAATACCCTGTTCTAGTTATGCTAAGTGAAACTTGACATTTTGTTAGCTTTTAGCTGGCTTAAAAATAGCTTTAGGCAAAAAAATAAATATTTGTTTCTGCTGAGACATGACAGTTGAGAGTTAGCTTAGGAGTTATTAATAATGCATGGACTGTACTGTATTTGGTGATATTGCTGTATTTAGTGATATCGCTGCTGTATTTGTTGATATCGCTGCTGTATTTGATGATATCACTGTATTTGATGATATCGCTGCTGTATATGGTGATATCTCTATTTGGTGATATCACTGTATTTGATGATATCGCTGCTGTATTTGGTGATATCACTGTATTTGGTGATATCACTGTATTTGGTGATATCACTGTATTTGGTGATATCGCTGCTGTATTTGGTGATATCACTGTATTTTGTGATATCGCTGCTGTATTTGGTGATATCTCTGTATTTGGGGATATCACTGTATTTGGTGATATTGCTGCTGTAAATGGTGATATCACTGTATTTGGTGATATTGCTGCTGTTTGGTAATATTGTTGTATTTGGTTATATTGCTGTATTTGGTGATATTGCTGTATATGGCGATATCGCTGTATATGGCGATATTGCTATTTGGTTATGTCACTGTATTTGGTACATCACCTTATATGGTAATATTGCTCTTTATGGGTATATTGCTGTATATCATATGGGCTTATGGAATGTTTGCATAAACCATGATAATCATAAATGTACTGTATGTTTATGTCTTGTTCAATAAATCCATGTGTTGAATTGTTAATGCCATCTGTGTTTGTAAGAATATGGTTAAACATAAAACAAATAAAATAATATTATGTTTTCTATCAGAGATCTGGTGGACTCTTTTCTGCAGGCAATGCAGGATACAGGAGGTGATTACACCAACTGTTTCCGTTGTCTGAATCAATTAGACTTGCCTGGAGCTGACACCTATCACACATCTATGGAGAGAGTAACTAATATGTTGATGGCACAGTCATGCACTTTGGAAGAACTCAAGAACACTTGCAAACCAAGAATGGACCCAAGGTAGTCATGTTACAGTGTTATCTTTGATGGAATGTGAAATAATTAATAGAGAGAAATGTGTATGAGGGAGAATGTCTATTCACTGCACTGAATTTTAGCAATGGTAATCCAGAAAGCAGTTGGAAGAATCTATTGTTTACAAACTATATACTGTAAAATCTGTATTAGAAGCTGTGGCTTCTATTAAAATGGTACAATGCAACAGAGGGAATGCGGCTTTTAATAAAGCATCTACACATATGAGAAATTGTGATTTTTTGGTTCTTCCAGAAAAATGTCCAGCTTGAATTAATGCTCGGCCAGATAGCAAATTACTGTGCAGTTATATCATGTAACTCAGTGATATTTGGCAGAAAATTATACAGCATTATGGGTTTCAGTCCTCAGGGGCTCATTTTTTGGATCTTGATAAAATTGGCCTACAACCGGATGAAAAACCTGAAGATTTGTATCAGCGCATTATGGCATTTTATGAAGATAATTTATTGACCAAAGATGGCGATATTATACATCACAGTGACCAGGTTCCAGATGATGAAGATATGACCCCAACCCTTGAGAACACCATCATGTTTTTATGGTTACAACTCATTAACCCAGGACTCCCACAGTTAGTGAAGCAGAAATATGGTGCAGAACTACGTAATAAATCCTTGGCCTCTTTGAAACCCGAAATTTCGCAAGCCATGTCATCTCTATTGGACGAGTTACATAGTATTGAAGATACAAAGGTGCTTCGTACAGGTGCATTCAACCAACCAATCAGAAACCAAGTTAATTTTCGTGATCAGATGTGTGTTCTTTGTAGAAGAGCTGGGAGACCCGGACATTCCCCACATACACTGATAGACTGTAGGTACTTGCCCGAAGCAGATAAGCATGCAATCAGTCATCTCATTTAGTCACACTTGAAAATGAAGTGGAATACCAACTGTCACCTGAGGATATGGAACATGATTTACAGGATGAGTGTGTAGTTCCAAATGCCCTAATTGATCGGCCAACAACTCAGCGAGTTAATGTAATACAGTCTCCATTTTGGAATACATATTATCTTAGTATTCCCATTAAGGTGACTCTCGATACTGGGGTCACAACTAATTTAATCAGAGCCTCATTTGCTAAAGCTGTGAATTTGCCTATTAAACCAGCATCTCAGATGGCTCATCAGGCTGATGGAGTAACCCCACTTGATGTTATTGGAGAGGTCCACTGTCAGCTAACTACAAATAAGCACATATTCCAGATAGACGCATTAGTTGTGAAGCGACTTGATGTTGAGATTCTTGCCAGCAACCTTTTTCTTGTGGACAATGATGTAGCAACCCATCCAGCCAAAAGACAGGTCGTTATTAAGGGCATCGATATCATCTATTATTGCCCTCAACCTGATTGCACCGCTTTCATACGTCGTACTCAATCTTGTTTGCTTAGAAGTTCTACTCAACAGACAATTCTACCAGGTGAATTTATTCAGCTGGATATCCCAGAGGAATGGGAACCAGATTCTATACTAGCACTGGAACCTCAAATGGATAGTCAGGCCAATAAACATGTTAAATTCAGTAAAACGTGGCCTAGGAAATTCAGTCAGTTGGCCACACCCTCAGAGTTACTAACTCAACACCTGATCCAGTAGTGGTAAAACGACATGACCATTTGGGCCAAGTTCGCCCGATAACACCAGCATTAATGGAAAATACCCATAAGACAACTTCAATAGCACACAACCCACCGAAACTATTTCACCCACACTCATCTAGTGTATCCCTGGACCCAGACCACCAGCTTTCTGTGGATATTAAGGGCGAATTTGTAGATTTGCATTTACAATATCTAAGTATAACAGGGCTAGTGGAAAGATTGAAGCAGTGGTAAATATGGGCCCAGTCTTACCCCCACAAAGAAAGGGCAGACTCCCTCATTATAAACGTGCTACAATGATTGCATTACAAAATAAATTTGGTGAGCTCGAATCTGCAGGCGTATTCGCTAAACCAGAACAAGTCAATGTTACAGTAAAATATCTCAACCTGTCATTCTTAGTAAAAAAAACGAATGGCGGAAGCCGACTAGTAACATCATTCGGTGAAGTTGCCCAATACAGTAAGCCTGAACCATCTTTAATGCCGAGTGTGGATAATGTATTATGTGACATTGCCGAATGGAAGTACATGTATATTATTAATAAAAACAGATTTGAATCAGGCCTATTATCAAATCCCGCTAGCATCCAAGTCCATGAAATATTGTGGAGTGGCGACTCCATTTAAAGGAGTCAGGGTATATACACACTGTGCTATGGGTATGCCAGGATCCGAAAACAAAGAAGTTATGTGCAGAGTTCTGGGCGACTTTATCCAGGAAGGCTGTGCTTCGAAAATAGCTGATGATCTCTATGTTGGGGGTGGAACACCTGACAGTGTCTTACATAATTGGAGTCGCACACTTGAAGCACTGCACAATAATAATCTACATCTATCAGCTGGAAAGACCATAGTCTGTCCCAAATCTACAAATATTTTGGGTTGGATTTGGTCAAATGGCACAATTAAAGCTAGCCCACACAGAATTGCTACCCTCTCTTCAATTGATCCACCTAACAATGTCTCAGGTCTGAGGTCATTTATTGGAGCATACAAAGTCCTCAGCCGTGTTCTTAAAGGCTATGCTGACCTCATTGATCCTCTGGAGCAGGCAACAGCTGGACTACAATCAGCTGGTCTGAGAACCTATCAGGCTTTTTAATTCTAAATTGAAGAAACATCAAATTGCATGGCTGCGAAGTAGAAGCTTTGTGTATAGGGGCAGCTGTAAAGCACTTTGCTCCTTATATAATACAATCAAAACATAAAACACAGCTTTTGACCTTGTGTCCAGGCTTACGAGAAATTGAGACTGGGTGAGTTCTCGGCTAGTTCCAGAGTTACTACATTCTTGTCCACATTGAGCCGCTATATGATAGATGCTCAACATATAGCAGGAGTCTCAAATGTACCTACTGACTTTGCAAGTCGGCATCCCTCAGAATGTTTGGATCAATCTTTCCAAATTTGTAAGTTTGTTGAAGAGTTGGAGAGTAAGGGATATCACGCCATCACACGATCGACTCAGTTGTTCTTTCATTCTGTTCGTTTGTTTATTATTACTTCTCTGTACACGTCCTTGTTATAAGCCATTAAACTACGTCGGCACAATACAGCTTTGGTTTGTTTCAATTGCCGCTCAATTGTTCAAAAAAAAATTTGTGTGACTTCTATTAGAGATGCAGCTTCAAATACAGATTTGACATACTTTGGCACACAGCAGAATCAAAAACTCTGTCTTTACAATAATGTGTATGAATGTTTATTGATTTTATTTGTTTGCATTTATAAACTGATGAAGAGTGGATGTCATAAAAGTTTCTTGGTGCAAATGTGATAAGGTTTTCCATGTTTTAGCTTTGCTGACATCATAGATGACAGAGTGGAGCTGTTCATATATGTGATTGTACGTTCATCGCTTGTTCTCATCCATCAACAATTGCACTACTAGCTCAATTGCTTTTATACTTGGCATGTAGGAGGTACCTTTGGTGGACCTTTCTCAGATTTGTTTATTTCATGATGACATCATCAATTCTCTAATTTTGATGAATATTTTTGTCAGTTTGGGGAAAAAGTGATATTTTTGATTTCTTGTTAAAAACCGCAAGTCTGATTACATTGATATACATAAATGTACGCTCAGATTTGTTCATTTTGTGATGGTATTTTCAATTCTTTAATTGAAATGTGCATTGCTAACAGTGAAGCCATCACACTAGCCGAGACACTTCACTTGCATCACTTGTTACCTCCATCATTTTATTGCTGTGAGTCTCTTCAAACAAACCCCAAACATGTATACATGTACAGTACAGACTGTGAAGATATTTAATACTACTGAGTTTAACTTTTTCCCCACGAGTTCCCTGTTTCCATCACACATTCACAAAATAGTCACGTTTATAGCCTACACTTTCCTTCAGAAGATTGGGAAAAACTGAAAATTGACTCAAATTTAGCCTGTTCCAAAATTAGGGGAAAAAATACAGAAAAATTTGGGTGAGAATGTCTAATGAGGAAAAAGTTAATCGCTGTTGAAGACCTGTTATTTAGATAGTGCAGTAAACTATGTATTAGTAATCATTTTCTTGTCAAATTTGTAATCTATTATATATGTCTGTAATATTTCTGCCAAATTTGTTTAGAGGTGAGAGAAGAAATTAACATCCCAATGAATAAATAATCTGTGATATTGTGACTATAATTTGAATACATGTTTGCAGGGAATTGATGATGATTGTTATGTTGATGCAGACTAACCCTGATCTGTTGGCAAACCTTGGCAAAGGACAACACATGGTTGTTAAAGAGATGGAAAAAGTAGAAAAACTCAAGCAATTACAAGTAAGTACACTGAATAGGATGTCTTATGAAACTGTGAAAGGTAGATGACCATAATTTATAAACATATTTATTTGTAATACCGATCATCAGTTTCCATTCAAATTTGAATATTTAATGCATGCCTCCAGGCGACATAGCACAAGTCCACTCATCAGTAATATTAGTTAGAACTCATGATGGTATCACAATACCTTAAAACATTTATAACATGTCTAGATTTCTGCTGTTTACTGTAAGCGTTAGTGCATTGCTTCACCATCCTAAATAAATATATAAGAGATCTTAATGTGTCTCATTTCAGCTGTGATTTATATGTCTTGGAAATAGTACAATTATTTGTACAGTATTGTTCAATTTGTGTATAACTAAGGCACTCAGCTTGCTTCAAAATGGATTTAAATTAGTTTTAGAAAATTTATTACATTGATGCCAAATTCACAAACTTTACTGGTATGGTGTTCTTATTCTGACTTGTGGTTTGTTTGATTCATCTGTTTATTTACCAGGGTTTAACTTTACTGGTATGGTGTTCTTATTCTGACTTGTGGTTTGTTTGATTCATCTGTGTATTTACCAGGGTTTAACAGAGCAAGATAAAAAAAATAAAGATTTGAAGATCTGGTCAGCTTGGCTCGAGAAATACTCAGATAGACTGAGACTAGAATGTAAAGACATGCAAGACATAGAGGAACTGTCAAAGACTAGGGTAACTGCTATGAACTCCAACAACCCTAAATACATACTGCGTAATTATATAGCACACAATGCCATAACTTGTGCAGAAAAAGGAGACTTTTCTGAGGTCAGTATTAAAAGTGTTATTGTCAGAGTGTTAGGAATTGTTAATTTCACATGCTATGCAGTTGACCTTGGTCTCTGCTAACATTTGTCTGTAATTGATATAGCTTAATGACCTGGGTCAACTTTTCTCTGAAAGTCTATCATTGACTAGGGCTGTATCAAATTAATTCACTTCTACCAATGATGTCTCAGGCAAATTACTTATTACTCTTAGTAATAGTTTTCGTTTCAAAACATGTCATCACCCACAGAAAAGTCTGCATAACAATAATAGTATACAAAGGTATTCACATTTACTATATAGACTTGTGTTAGTTTTTCCTATTTGAAAATTGACAACACAATGAAGTATAATACTTAATCGTACATGGCTGTCAAGATCTTGTTGAAAGCGAGAGAATCACATGACTTGTTTTTGCCCTTCAAATATTGTTCTATTCTTCATCGCCATCACATTCCTTATTCACCTGACCTATGTAATTCTGATATTTGGGGCCAAAACATGAAAATCTGCAATTGTCAGCCCATTGTTTAAATAAATATTTTACTCAAGAAAAACAAGTCCTGTGGCTCTCATAACTATTCATGATTAGGCTATATATTAGCTCCCATGGCTAAAAAAGCATTTGGTAGAAATCCATGGTGTAGGCGAGTTCCAGCATCAAATTAGGTGTAAATTTTTGACTAATATCAGCAAAAAATATATGATAATTAAAAAGTGGTCAATGTATCACCCTAGATGACTTGTGTACTATGCCAAGTATATAACACAGTGCAACAGGAGTTAGTTCATGTACACTGCGTAATTGTCAATATTAGCATTTAATATGTTAATTTCTCAAATAAAATGGTTTAATAGTTCTAAATAATGTTTGTAATCAGCTCCAACTCCAACAAAATGGATGTAAACAAAACAAAACATGATTCACAGGTCACCGGTACTTGACTCAGCTTCACTTATGAGTGTAACAGCTGATATACATGTATACAATGAAGTACGCCCTCACACATCACGTTTCAGATCAAACAATGAGAGAAAGCTCATTGGCTTTAATACATATATTATGGGATGAAATAATAATGTGGGAATACATAACACATACCCCCCCCCCTCCTGCAATGTGAACCTGCATTTTTTCTCTGCTCATCATTAAAATGAAACAGATTACTATATTTCAACACATATATAATCCTGGGACCCATGCATAACTGTTATATCTCAAACTCTGTCGTATTTAGGAAGATGAAACCTGCATTATTATGAATATGTTAAACAAGAGATCTGAACAAAAATAACAGATGACCATATATGGTCACATAAACTCATTAATATGCATAACTGTCATTACTGACATGCAACCAGGGCCTTAATGAAGACATAAAACAAAAGATGTAATTAATATAAAAGATGTCTGTATATGATCATGTAACCTCATTAAAATGCATAAGCACATGGCTCATTGTATATTCTGAATCAATATCTCGATAACCAAACCAGGTAAATACATGGATCCAACAGTGTTTTGACCTTATGGTGCAAGTCATTCAAACTACCCTAATGGCCATCCGGTGACCACATTAATTATGGCATATGTCTGATGGCTTGGACCCTGCTGACACCACTTACAGCTTTACATATACATTGTTTTTTCACTGCTATAGCACTAGGATAGGATAGGATATTTTTATTTGGAACGTACACAAAAACAATGTTTGAGTAAAGTCCAATATAAGAAACAATAAGTAACACAACTAATCTGAAATCATTTTTTAAAATCTGAAATACAAAATTAGCTAAAATACTACAAACATATTTGTTTACACTTGAGAAAACATTGATAAACAATTCTCCATTTGGTAAGGTTTGATAATCAGGTGAGTATTTGAATTGTGCATAGAGGAATTTTTACCTATGTTCTGAAAAACTGTTATGTTCACAATGAAAAAAGTAAGTGTTTTTTATCACCCACATCATTAGAGTCACACTTGTTACATACCCTGTCTATTCTATTTATTCCCCTGTGAGGGCCTGTTTCAATTGGCAAGAAGTGGGCTGAAATACAGAATTTGGTTAAAACTTTATATGAAGTTTTTGTGGTAATATTTTGTCAGAAAATAGTTTTGATACAAAAACAGTAATCTCTGATTTGCTATTGCCAGTTCCGCTAAATAGATTAGTCAGAAAACTACCCCAAACTTCTGACCCATAAAGAATAACAGTTTACAGGCTAGACTCACTAAATGGCATTCGTTTGAATCCCAAAGCATTTTATACATTTTAAATGATGCTTTGTGAGCTTTCTCATACAACCTTGCTGTGGCTGCACTAAATTTCCCATTTGATTGAAAAGTGATGGCAAGGTTTATAAAAATTCACACATTCGAATTGAAATTTGTCTTCAAGGTTTTTACCAGTGCTGTTGAAAACTATAATTTTAGATTTGTTTATGTTAACCTTTAATTTCCATTTCTGGCAGTAATTTTGAATGGCATCAATGCCCTTCTGTAGACCATCATGACTAGTAGATATTAACAGAAAATCATCTGCATATAAAATACAGTTAAATTTCACACCATTCAGGTCCACTGGGTCAAAATTGTTAACAACATCATAAATACCATTGACATATTAAATATTAAACAACTGGGGACTTGCAGCCTTACAGCTTTGCTTTACACCTATATTAGAATCAAAGTATGGTGTAATTCCCCTATTCATTTTTATGCTATAGTTTGTATTTTTATCCTCGGGTGGAGCTATGTCACAAGACGTTCCACGTTGCTAAGACGCGCACCACTGTACATGCATTTCTATGGGCTCTGTGTGCACTGCTGTGGAACAACGGTCGAGCCGGTGAAAATTCAAGAAAACAATACAAACTCAACTTTGAAGTAATTATGTTACACATGTAGCACTAATCTTGTTATACTGTTCAGGGGAGTCTCAACAACCATCCCAAAGTACCGTTTTCTGCGAGTTTTTGGCCTTTGCTTACACCGCAAGGGTTGCCCAGCGTTGCCCGGATGTCCGCCCCAAGGATTGACTTAATCAAATTATAGAAGTTCCCCCCAATGCCTATATGCAGTAGTTTATATACATATTAAAAAACAAAAGTATATTATTATTTACTCTAGAGGGCAGAATTAACTCCATAATAATTCAATTTTTTCAGTGATTGTTCATGTTCTTTCAATGTCACATATGTGAAAATGAGAATATTTCAATATTTGAGAAACATTTTATTTTACATCAAATGCAATTTCTATATTTCAGGTTAGAAGGGTGCTGAAACTACTGGAGCATCCATATGATGATGGCACACAGGTTGATGACGTCACAATGCAATTAGAACAGCACAATATAGAAAGCTCATCATCTGCTGAACAAGGTGTGCAGTGTTTTATATTTCTCAGTTATGTAATGTCTGGTGCTCTGCAGTATTTATCAGTTATGTAATGTCTGGTGCTCTGCA